TTCAAAACTTTTTCTTCAAATGCGGGACTTCTAGTATTTCCTTGGGAATAAGATTGGTTGGGAAAATGAGAATTAGCAAATTGAGTCCCTTGTGATTGATAAGGTCTATAACCTTGGGATCCTTGGTTTTGAAGTGGAAGTGGAATGTACTTCCCTTGAAAACCGCCTTAGGAAGGGTTTGAGCCATCTCCTTGGTTTTTTCAAGAGAAGTTCGGATGATTTCTCCAACTTGGATTATAGTGAGTACCATAAGGATTGTTCCCTTGGTTCACAAAAGCTGCATTGACTTGTTCATTAGGTTTATTTTGCACTTGTCCGTGAGGACAATGAGAAGTAGAATGAAGAACACTAGAACAAGTCATACATGTTTCATTTAATGCACGATGAGAATGGTTAGGGATGGAAGATACTTGGTTCGCCGAGTTTTGGTTAATCAAGAATTGATCAAACCTTTGAGATAAGGACTTCATTTCGGCAACTATTTCATTTGAATGGTCGACTTGATGTAAGCCAACACTCTTCCTACCTTGTGAATTTCTACCATTCTTGGATGATAATATTCTATGCAAAGAATTTTCACTCATGCTCTCATAAAAACGCCACACGTCATCCTCATGCCTATCAATGTATGAGCCACCCATGGAAGCATCAACCATGCCTTTGTAATTGTCCGATAAGCTCTCAAAGAAATATTGAACTAATTGCCATTTGGGCATGTCATGATGTGGACACTTCCTAAGCAATTCATTGAAGTGTTCCCATGCCTCATGAAACGTTTCTCCATCCCCATGTGAAAATTCTCGAATTGAGGTTCTCATAGCATTGGTCTTAGAAACCGGATAGTACTTCTTCAAAAACTCTTGTTGCATTTCTGCCCAAAAAGTGATTGAAAAAGGCCTAAAATTGTTAAACCAATACTTTGTCTTGTCTTTTAAGGTGAATAGAAAAAGTTTGAGTCTTAAAACCTCTTCCGGCATGTCTGTATATTTTACGGTGGAACATACTTCAAGAAACTCATCCAAATGCTTGTAAGGCTCTTCACTTGGAAGTCCATGATAGTTAGGAAACATTTGAACGGCTTGTGGCTTAATTTCATAGTGATGTGCTCTAAATGGTGGCAATTGAATGCATGTGGGTGCATTGTATTCATTAGACACATAGTGATCTCTTAAAGCAAGTGGAGGATTAGCAATTTGAGGTGCAACATGGGCACCTTGATTTTGATTTCCTTGAATGATGGGAGGTTGCAGAGCATGCATTGGCCTTGGCATTCCAAATGGAACTTGGCCTTGTTGTTGTTGTGGTTGGTGAATGAATGGTTTAGGCATGCCTAATGGTGGTTGAATGTTCTCATGATGCACATTTGGATGAAGGATACCTTGTTGGTCTATGTGACCAAGGTTCTCTACATTCTCTTCATTATGGCCTTCCATTGATGTAATGGATCGGGTAGAACTAGAACTTCCTCTAGGATTTCTAATTACGGATTCAAGATGCAAATCAAGAGGGACAAGAGTTGGTCTTAGTGATCTACGACCATGTATGCACAATGTGAAAACACATAAACACAATGAATAAACAAGCACTTCAACTTCACAACAATTTCAATGAAACTTCCTCCACAAACACTTAACCCATACTCTTATGCTTTAACAATAATGATGCAAAGAACAATTAAAAATGCCTCCACGCGGGCTCACGATTTATCTAAGAAATTAAAAACAAGCTTCCACGCAAGCCGACGATTTAACTAAGGGATTGAGTAAGAAAAAGCTCACAAAGGTCCTTTAGCACTTTAACTCCAAATTTATAGCTTAGCTTAGCAATTTTTTAAAATTTTTAGCATTTTTCCTTGCTTGCTTAGCTCTTTTGCTCGGATCCTAGCTCAATGCTCCTTGTCAAAGATGAACAAACACAATAAATAATCAAAAGAAAAATAAAAACAAAGTAAAGACACAATCAAAAGAGTACTAATTCCTAATTGATTCCACAAATACGACGTTGCCTAATCCCCGGCAACGACGCCAAAAACTGTGGTTCTCGTCCTACCATAAGCTTAAGAGTGTGTAATTAAGGCGAGGGCCAAGTTTTACATTTATAAAAGCCACTACTACCTTCACTAAAAATATAGTTAGGGTGAGTAGGGATCGTCCCAATGGATTGGAGTCAAATTTGGTTGTGGAGTCACTATTAGGGTTAGTAGGTCGAGTGATCAACCAAATGGTTAGTTGGTTGATTAAACTAAAGAGCAAATTAAACTAAGTAATTGAATGCAACAAAGAGTAAGTAAGAGAGAGAGAGTTCTTGGGGTTTAGAGGTCACCACCAAGCAATACTTTTCTACACCCTTAACTAGTGACTAATAAGGGAAATGTGTGTTGCAATATTGATATATGTGTGTGTTTGGTTGATTCAATTAGCAAGGGTGACCAATTAAACATACATTGTCTAAACATGTGAAAAGCACAATATATCTAGCAATTAAGTATATATTGTCTAAATAGCATGTAAAAGGCACAATATATCTAGCAAGTCATTAATCCTTTCGTTAATCTCACAAGCCAAACACACCATAAGGTTAGAGACATATGCTACTTGCATTCAAAAGTATGGAACACCAAACAACAAGTATGGATTGTCCTCCCATGTAATAATTATGCTACCACTACACTACAATTAAGCTAATGACATGAAATTAAACTAATTAAACTAAGGAAGAAGCACAATCCATCAAGAAATAAGCATGGACCATCTAGAAAATCACAAGAGCATTCATTTAAGCACAATGTTTTGACAATCTCTAGATCTATAACATTAATACACATAGACATGTATCAATAACACAAGAAATAGAGACAAACACATGAACATCTATTCTAGCATACATAGACATATGGATAGAATGAAATGATCAATTGGAAGTATTAAACCACATAAATCATTGAATAAACAAGATTTATATATATATAAGTGTCAAAACATGTATTACAACACTAATTCCTCAATAATACACAAAATCAAGATGTAGAAAGCATACATGGGGCTAACTCTAGCCCCAAGAGGATGTCTAGCCACTCATAGTAGTGCTTCTCTAACCCTCAAGGGCTAACTCCATGGTAGAGATTTGCTTATTGGTTGATGAAGAGTCTCCAATGGTGTCTCTAGCCTCCTCATCCTCTAAGCTTGCTCTCCAAGAGTTCTTACAAGGTATGAGATGATATAATATGGTATGGTATGGTATGAGGTCCTCTTTGTAAAAAGCAATTCTTATCCTTATATAGGTAGGTCAAATGACACCCAAAATGAGCTGGGGTTGTGCACACAATATTCCCCAATGATTGGATAAAGGACAACTTTTAATGAGCTGGAATTTTAACTTTTTCGCACTGGAGGAAGTTTGATCGATCGAACCTTGGACTTGGATCGATCGAACATGGCTGAGATCCATCGAACTTAGGCTGGATCGATCCTCACTAGTGGCGCTTTTTGGATAAAGACAAATCTGAGATATTTTGAAGATATTTTTGGGAAAAGGACAAAAGTGATTGGTAGGGTGGTACAACTAGATAAGATCAATCATTTAGATAAGGACAAAGCAGTTTGATCGATCGAAGAATGATGTTGGATCGATCGAACTTTTGAGATCTCTGAAAATGTCATCATGGCTCTGATCCATCTTGAAGTGCAGAGATCGATCATGTTGGATTGATCGAACCTTGATCTGAGATTGATCAAAAATGTTGATTTCCACCTTTTTCTTCCTTTTGCTTCCACTTGGCTCCTTTTTTTGATTTATCCCAGAATTGCTTCATTTCTGTTCTTATTTGGCTGAGTTAGCTTATTTTTGGGATAAGTGCCTGAAAATGGAAATAATACGAACTCAATCTAAAACGGTAAAGTAAGATCGATAAAGGTACTAGAATGCTTAAGCTTAAGGGGTTTAAATACGCAGTGCACAGTGGTACCCATTTTATTTTGGAATGACCATTTTGCCCTTGATCCATTCCTTGAAGGGTTTTAAAACCCTAACTTCGGCCTTACTTCCGCTAAGTCACGGGACTTCTCAGAAGGCCACTCTCGTGTCTTGGGATGATGTACATCTCTATAGACTTGTTTATATTTTGCTTCCGCATTTTGGATCTATTTCGGGTCATCACATAACACACAAGGTTGGTAAAATCTAGGGTCGTCACAAATCTCATTGGGAATAAGTCCTTCAATCATGTTACCATCGAGATACAACCTTTGTAAGCTCTCTAATTTTCCCATTGTTGATGGGATGGATCCATTTATGTTGTTGTCACTCAATCTAAGGAGCTTCAGGTTTTTCTATGAACCTATTTCTCTTGGAATTGAACCCTTTAGTTGACATGTAGAGGCAACAAATATATAAAGTGAACTTGAAAATTTTCCAATTGAATTTGGTAAGAAACCTTCAATGGGATTGCTCCAGAAGACCAACCTTTCACTATAACAGTTCTGGCTTTTACCAGCGCTCAAAAGCACTGGTAAAAGTCCTAAAAAGCACTGATAAATCTAGTGTCGATAGGCTTTTACCAGCGCTTTTCCAGAAAGCGCTGGCATAGAGTATTTACCAGCACTTTATCATAAAGTGCTGGTAAATACTCTATGCCAGCGCTTTCTGGAAAAGCGCTGGTAAAAGGACTTTACCAGCGCTTTCTGAAAAAGCGCTGGTGAAGAGTATTTACCAGCGCTTTTTGGAAAGCGCTGGTAAAGCGTCATTTTAAGTTTTCCCCCCCCCCCCATACCAGTGCTTCTTTAAGAAGCGCTGGTAAAAGGTCATTTTATATATATATATTTTCCTTTATTGGTTTTGTTAAAATATCTTTACGGCTACTAAATGTCATCCAATATAACACAAGTTAAACCTGTAATCAAACATCAAGTCCATTCATAAACAAAATTTACTAACGAGATAAACCCAATCCACATCAAAGTTTAAAAAAAAAAAAAAAAAAAAAAAAAAAAAAAAAAATTGAATTACGGTGCAATAATGAAATTTGATATAGAGTGTAGCTATGTCTCAAAAACAGGCCCACGAAAAAAAAAAAAAAAAATTATAATGTCTCAAATCATGAGAATTTGCGTCAAATGAGACTCCATGTAATAATATTCTCGAAATAAGACCATCACAACCAGTCCCCAAACAATTGTTATTCCCGGAAGTGTCACCACCTTGTCCTTCCCAAATTCACCACCATCGTAGCACAACCAACAAATATCAGGAAGTAGGTCCCCAACACCTCCGTATAAAGAGAACATGTTTAAAAGGAACTTCAGATGGTTAATGTTCAAAAAATGAGCATGAATAAAATGAAGAATTTAGATTTACCAGTAGTAAGACGAGTTGAAAATTTTTAAATATGTATACATCAATGACAAGGTTGTAAGAAGTAGGAACAACAGAGGAGAAAAGATGAGACAAAAACAAAATACTGAAGATGGTCCGACAAAATGTAAAAAATAGTCACCTAAATACCTTATTGGGAATATAACTCCGACTGGTGGTCGAGCTATATGTTTATGAGCATCTGGAAGTCTGTATATAGCACAACTGAACAACAGATAAGTAACAGAAGAGATAAAAAATTAAAAATAGAAAAAGTAAAAGGAAAAGAAGTCCAAGATGCATTTTATTTTAATTAACCCACTTAAAGATTATCTCTGATTTATTGGAAACTTACATGACTTGATTATCCATAATATCTTCCAGTCCTGCAATAGGTGACCTAAAAATTGGAGAGCAAGGGTCTCCAACACAAAGTGATATGTAACCATTCATCCCATCACTGCATGAAACCCAAAACAATATAAGGAAATAGTTCAAACAATATGAAGAAAATAAAAATGAATAGGATTCAAGAGGCCAGCAAACTGCAGTTATATAAAGGACATGATTTAGGAACGATGACGTAGGAGAACAGATAAAGTCCTGCTATTGCTGAAAAACAATTTGCATCAAACAACACTGAACTTGGGCAGATTCAGGAATGCAGTGAGAAGAATATGAAGTAAAAAATATCCACCAGACAGATTTTGGCATTAAAAAACATTTTAAAGGTAGAAAAAATGTTGTGAAAATTAATTTTAAAGTAAAATCATCTTGCAAATAAAAATACTTCTGTAAGGAAAATCATGATCCTTTTGATTTTTGTTGAGAAAATGAGAACTTTAAGAAATTAAATATATGAACTTTTCCCAGGAAATTCGGGATATTTCTTTTGATGTATGAACTATTGGAATATTGGAGTACACCAACTTTAATTTTTAGACGAGAATGGTAAAGAAATCCGAAAACAATTTAAGGATTTTGTTATCCAGGGGAAAAGTAAGTCCATCTTGATAATTATAAAAATAAAAATAGAAAAAACTAATAATCATACCTCAAGGATACTAAAAAAGAAAAATCTTCAGGATATTAAACAATTGATTGACACACCCAAATGGCAAAAGCAACCTCATCTTGAAAACCCGCATTATTTTATGAAATAATCAAACTTAAGCAGCATAGCATAAACCTGGCCCTCGGATCAAGTTGCTCATTGATTTCAGTTCTCTCTTTGTCTGGCAAATGTTTACAACGGTCATCAAGAGAAAATATATCTGGAGATAGGGGATAAGATAATGCCACAAAAAGCATATAAATGTTATTTTTTGTTTTGCACTTTTACATCTTACTTCATAAGGAATTTGAGGTTATTTTGAGATAACGCTATTTCTCAAAGGTCATTGAAGTCTATGGCTATGATTCCACAACTACTTGCAAACAGAGTTTCTACTTTTACCAATTTGAGAAATTACAAGAATCAATTGGAGCTTTTAGACTCAGCAGCAATTTGAAACTAAAAACTAAAAAGGGAAGTACTAAAAAAATAGGCAGGAAAGATGTAAAATAGTTAAGTAGCATTTTTTCAACTTCACTTTCAAAACAAGAAGGATTGCTACAGCTATCTGGTTGCTTCCATAACAACTCGGCAACTCCAGTAAAAAATTACAAGAAAGCTGCACTAATCTACCATCCAAACCAACCAAAACAACATAGGCAAAAGCTAACCTCATTGTTTTCAACCGCTCTAAGCTACCCTTCAGCATTGAATCCAACACATTGAAAACTACACATGGATCTCTTTTATGGTCATGACCCTTGTTTAGTGGAAACCAAAATACAAACAAAATACATGCAACGAATTAAAGAACACAACCACAAGTTTCTTCAAAAGAACTCATCAAACTTCAAACTTTCTTTTTTCTAATATTTGTGAACAAAATACAAACAAAATACATGCAATGAATTAAAGAAATAATACTTAAAACACATTATGTCCTTAAACACATTAAAGTCAAGGTAGATGGGGATGTAAATGAAGTTGTCCTGAATTAATCAAGAGTCAGTCCTTAGCATTAGATGATTTGAAGAGCCCTGCAAAGAGTCCAATCCAAACTAGAGGAGAGAGAGAGAGATCAAAAACGCCATTCAATAAAAAGTTGCTGAAATCATCATAATTATTTTATCACTACTATAAATTACTCTATCAACTAATTGAGATACTGCAATATTCTTGAAAGAAAATACCAAAGCCACAAACAAAATAGGGAGCCAAAATCGAACTCGTTGTGATTCGAGCCATCTGATGACATCTGCACACATCAAAACCAAAAACAAAATATCAACATCAACAGCTCAAAAAAGAGTAAAGCAAAACTGGTCATCATCATCATCAATGTCACAGTCAATTACCAATCAACATAAAGCAAATTAGAGAGTGATAATCTTCTAATTTTACAAGAAATATATTTGACCCAATGAAATAAAAGAGTAAAGCAAAACTGGTCATCATCTTCTTCTTTTTTTTTTTTTGGGAGGAAATGAATGGTTCAAGGCTTTAAATGTGAAAAATAAATGGAATTTAATCCAATTCACAAGCTGAAAGGAACAGCCAGCTAAGACTACCCTAGTTCTTGAATTTAAACAATGTCAAGTTTTCTATTTTCTGCAACTGAACACTTAAATAAATGCATTGAATGACATAATGTACCAAAACTATAATTGCATTAAACCCAGTTCGTGTATATGTTTGTGTGTATAAATATAATTTTATTCATGAAAAATAATAGTTGAAAATTGAAACTCACATAGAAAGGAGTCACCCTCTACAAGCTTGATCTGAATATTTACTTTCCCAAACAAATACTTGCTTTTGAATTGAAATCCAGCCCCTGAAATTGCATATATGATATATAAATCAGATTTAAAAAAAAAAAAAAAATAGAGCAAGAGCAACAAGAACAAAAAATAAAAATAAAAACTTAAGCAGAAAAATAAGTAAATGAAAACTAAAATTGAGACACCAATACATAACAAGGAAAATCATGAAGACCCAACACAAATTCATTTGTTTACGAGAATAGTTATCTAGTTTCATCTTAAGAAGCTCTCCTTTATAGAGGAAATGGTCCAATGCCCAATCTTGACTTTATGATCTACTAAGCCAGTCACTTACATCGTCCCAAGAAGTCAATTATCTGGGCATTTACTTGATCAAAAGACTTGATAAATATTAGGCAAGGAGGCAATATAAAATTTTCAACATAAAGGATTCCAGCAAATAAATATAAGCCTCGAATGTTAACAACACAAACTCAATGGCAAAATGTGTATATCTCTAAATAGTTCTTAGACTAAAGAAGCTCTCAAAATTCATCAACCATGTTCCTTCTGTCCTGTATAAAAGGGAGGAGGGGTTATGTTAATCACCACCTATTATTTGGTGGTTTGACTTTGTAAATCTGAACTATCTAGTTGGATGTTGTGAATGCTTCTTCCAGGTATTCAAGCTTTACATCCTTATTTCCTATTTCAACTCCCCTTGCTAGATCATACCTGCCATAACAAAAAGCCATTACAAGACATTAGCAATGTATTTTAGGCGTCATGAAAGCATAACAATGCCTCCATTGCAAACCAATCTGAAACAAACTTCTACAAAACAGAAGTCTAGTATATAAAATGTAACTCAAGAGGTAAATTTGAAAGAGACGTAAGAGTTTGTTACCATATTACTTCTAACATTGGCAGTGATCCTGTTGAAAGATTAATTTATGTTTCTAAGTTTTCATTAGCACAAATCTAGGTCAGGGTGTAAATTGCAGTCGTACAACAACCTTGCCATGATTCATGAGTGGAGCAAATACTCATGAACATAAGGAGGGTTAGCCAACTGTTGGTCTGAATTTATTTTTTTTTTACCAGCATACAAAAAAGTTGATACAGGAAATTCACATACAAATTTTTTTTTTAAAAAACCAGCATACAAATGACTATTTATTTGTTTGAAATTGCTCTACACAAAAATTTATTTGAATGTGACATTTTCTTTTAGATTTGTTTGTAACACAAAAGCAAAAAGAAGATAGTTTTTTAAAATAGTTTTTTATAAAAAAATGTTTTGCATACTATATATGGTCAAACACAATTTTATCAGACAACAATTTAGACAACTCTAAGGCCTGACATTCTGGAGTTTGGGAACACATTTGATGTTCAATGGTTGTCGTAGGACACCAAAATTCCATTTACTGATGTTGCAGGGGCCTTCATAACCAAAAGTTTCCAAGCAAGATGCAGAAAAATGACTTTCATACCTGACTTGTGCTCTTGAAGATGCGAAGGAAGACTCTGCTTGAAGAAAGCCGAGAGATTAAAGACAGAGAACAGGCAAAGCAAGGAAGACGCTCAGTTGCAAGATATTCAAAAAACTGAACCACTCCTGTAAAACAGCAATTATGAATTAAAACGGCAAAAATAAAAATAAGAATAATTAAAAGTTTGAATTAAAGCAATAATTTCAACAGCCAAAAGAATTTATGCTCCAAACACAACATAATATATGAAAATAGATTAAATTTAATATTCCCTTACAAGTTCAACAGATTTCAAGCAAAGAGATTAAATTTTTGCCAAACAGATTCAAACGAAATTCGTAACAGATAAGGTGAAAAGTAAAAGGAAACAACCTGATCTATGTGTGTATAGAGAGATAATTACGCCATTGAAAGTGCACTAAACACATGTAACCCTTAAATCTAGCATAAAATTCACAAATGCAATCTGAAAACTAAAACACTTAAAATAACAAATCCACATAAAACACTAAATTTACTCAATATTATCACCAGAATAACAACAATCTTTGGTACAGTGATCTACACAATAATCAAAATCAAAAGGCGAATAGTTACTAACCTAAAAAAATTCTGCTCCGATCTGTTAGTGTAGACGAGATTTTGGAAACCCCCAACGATGACTCTATCTCTCTCTCTGTGTGCAGTAGCAATGACTTTGTCTCTTTAAACCAAGTCACCAGTTTTAGAGCGTTGGTTTCTGATTAAAATTCGGGTTTTGGAACGCTGACTGATGGAAGGGGAGAGAGCTGTGATGATCGGTGATGGAAGGAGAGAGAGCTGTGATGGAAAACAAAACGGATTACAAGATCGGGCGAGACCGGTGATGAAAGGAGAGAGAGCTGTGATGGAAGGAGAGAGAGTGTTAGGGCTTGCAAAATGAAATGGGAAAGTGAATACAATGTTAATGGCCCCAAAAAAAAAATGACGTAGTAAAAGGCCCCAAATATTCTACAGTGGAGGGAAAAAGTGGTGGGAAGGGAAAAAAAAAGTGGAGGGAAAAGAAAAAGTGGAGGGAAAAGAAAAATTGGAGGGAAGGAGAAAAAAGGTAGGGAATGGAAGGGCCATTACCAGCGCTTTTTTTTAAGGGAAAATTACATATAAATGGAGTTAAAGTTCCATATTTACTTAGAGATTGAGTCAAAGTTCCATATTTCTCTAAAATGGATTGCTGAGGTGGCACATGGTTTTTTACTGTTTAGAAAATTGTGGTGCCTAAAATGCCCTTCCCTAACAAAAAAGTAGTACCTTCAATTCAAAAAAGTAGTACCTTCAGTTCAAAAAAATAGTACTTTCGAAGAAAAAGTAGTACCTTCGCGAGTGTTTAAAAAACATGGTACCTGGACACCAAAAAGTAATACCTTCAGTTCAAAAAAGTAGTACCTTCGAAGAAAAAGTAGTACCTTCGCGGAAGGGTATTTTAGGCACCACAATTTCTAAACAGTAAAAAACCATGTGCCACCTCAGCAATCCATTTTAGAGAAATATGGAACTTTGACTCAGCCTCTAAGTAAATATGGAACTTTGACTCCATTTTTATGTAATTTTCCCTTTTTTTAAAGTGCTGGTATAACTACTACCCCTATACTAGCGCTTTTTGTTAAAGCACTGGTATGATTACACCTATACCAGCAGAATTCATATAGGGAATGGGACTATGGAGGGTAAGGTTCTTGCTGGTAAGCTTGTTCTAGGGAAGCTTCTCCCACATGCTCCTTTTAGGAGTGCTGGTATGATTACCCCTATACCAGCGCTTTTTGCTAAAGCGCTGGTATGATTACACCTATACCAGCGCTCCTAAGAAGAGCGCTGGTATTAGTTCACCTATACCAGCGTTCTTCTAAAAAGCGCTTGTAAAAGCCTGATATGTTGTAGTGTAATTTCCAAAGATTTGTAGTTTGTCAGAGCAGTGAGAAAGGTAATTTCCCCATTTCTATTTTCTCCCGTGAGACGATTTTTTGCATATTGAGTGATCTAAGGAGATGTAAGTTGCCTAAGCTAGGAGGTATTGGTCCAGTAAATAAGTTGTAAGCCAGCGACAGTCTTGTGAGCTTAGAAGAGTTAAATAAATACAAGGGGATGTTTCCACCCAACTGATTGTCTTCTAGATTTAATTCTTCAAGATTAGGAAGCCACAAACCAATAGTTGACGGCAGATTTCTATCAAGAGTATTGAAAGGCAGGTCAAGGAATTGCAGAGAAAACATGTTAAACATTTGCTCCGGAATACTACTAGTGAGATTATCTGTAAGTAAGTTCAGTACCCTTAAATTTGAAAGTTATGAGATCTCCTAAGGAATCTCTCCTTGAAGGTGATTCTTTCCAATCTCAAACCCAAGTAAACTTGAAATGTTACGAAGGATAGGGGGAATCGTACCTGTTAAGTTGTTCTTACCAAGATAAAAAATCTCTAGTGTTTGTAGATTCCCAATGTCTCTTGGTATTTTTCCCTCGAATCTAGTATACGAAAGAGACAATATTCTGAGCTCTCTACAATGAGATATCGAGGTTGGAATCTGGCCACGAAATGGTTGAAAGAAAGAGAAAGTCCTTCGAGTTGAGGACAAAGTAAGCAAATGTCCATTGGAAGACTACCAAAGATGCTATTATTCGTGAGAGAAATGGTACGCAAAGAAGAGATGTTAAAGATAGTATGAGGAAATGAACCTGTCAATGCATTGCATTCGAGTGCCAATACCTCCCATGTTGAGATGTAGCCTAGAGAGGATGGGATAGTACCCATGAAATCATTTCTCACGAGACCAAGAAAATAGAGGTTGGACAATGTACCCAACTCTTCCGGTATGACTCCACTGAATCTGTCGTTCAAATTAAATCCCCAGGACTTCAAACTTCCAGCATTGGTTTAATACTTGGGGCAAGTGTCCTTCCATCTTGTTCTCATCTAAAATGAGATCTTTCAGATGACCCAAACATCCAATCTTGTGTGTTAAAGTGCCATGGAAACTGTTGTTTGAAAGATCTAGAGTCACGAGAAAGGAGAGATTGGCAACGTAAGGAGAGATGGTTCCTTGTAGTCCCATGCCAGGAAGCTCCAAAGCTGTGACTCTTTGTTTGGTCACACCAAGCCAACTATAGAAGTTGGTAGTTCTGCTCCAATTACTACCCAATACATTGTTTGGATCAGGCTTGATCTCATTCTTGAAACCGAGGAGAGCAAATTGATCTGTGAAGTTTGAGAGGAAGTGCCAAACAAAGTTTGCATGACTGCACTACCAGCACTCCTAATAAAATCTGCATGTATACGCTCTCCATAAGAATCACAATGTATATATATTCTCATGAAACAAAAGGAAAATGAATTTAAAGCCAGGGAGTTGAACACTTGACGTATGTGATACCCCCAAATTTCTGGATGCGGGTTGGCCAGGCCCACGCCCGATTACCCGAGGATATCAAAACAATTAGCAATAATCGAACACAGAATAATTATATCAAAAGAGATAAATAAAATTTGCTGAAATGAAAACTAAAAGAGTAATCCAATATTTGAAAACCTCAGAAAAATAACTCCATTGATGAATACGATATTTCAGATACAACTGATTCACCACGAACACATATCGTTCTCCAATACAACTCGGGAATCCATCTAGTGGACCCCTAAAATAACCCACTGAACTCAAAAGACGGGAAACAAAACCCAAGTCTACACACAAAATATACTCCTATGTCATCGGTGGAGTGAACAACTGTATCTGCTCAGCACGATCAAGCTCTGCAGCCTGGAACTAACGAACACCTGTAAAGAATAATAGAAGAGTGGGTCAGGCCCACGAGCAAGTTCTAATCTAACTACAATCCATACAGTGACCGGATACGCAGATACACCGTAGATACCTCACAATATCTATTTAGACCATACATATATATATCCACACTATGTGACATTCACTGAACTACAATAGGGGTCTCAACCTGAATAGAAGGTAACATGCGAAAACGCACCCCAGTATGCCACCGTCCCATACCGGTGCATACAATCCACAAAATCCATATAACTGATAGAACATGTAAAACTGTTCACCAATTTAAAATCCATAAGGCAGGAATTAACATTTTAAGCTAAACCATACCTAGTATGCCACCGTCCCATACCGGTGCATACAATCCTCCATATCCAGGTAAATTACAAGGCATAAATAATAAGCGCGTAATTTATAGTCCAAAACCAACCATCCACATCGTTGCAGAATAGTATTTAGTATTTCAACAACTTAAAACCAAAATCATGTAAATTACAGACTATGAATGATAGTACAGCAATTTAAAATCCAAAACCAATATCCAATTAATTGCAGAAGATTTTTAAATGTTTCAGCAATATAAATCCAAGCGTTAAACCATATAGTTGCAAAAAGCAATTAATAATTCAGCAACTAACATCCAGAGAATGCATAGATCACCTCTAATATACCAATGACTCTATCATGTATTTAGAATAAATTCTATAATCATATTATAGTCCAATAAATTACTAAATTAATTTAAGCAATTTAATTCATTCCATCCGACAACAGGGTACTAAGTTGTATACTTATATTCTGTTTTATCGTTTAGCCAGAGCCATGCACTATGCCCTAAGTCCAATCTATTAATTTAAAAGACTTAACTGTGCTTTTAAACTTAATTTAGAATCATTATATAACACCTTAAATTGTCACATTAAAACTAGACAATTAATTTCCTTCCAGCCGTTAACCGACGCGTAGGGATTGAATAGCACACTATTAATTCCATTAATATAAAGAGGGTATTTTATGCCATTCAAGACCTTAATTACATCTTAGAATAATTATTGAAAACCCCCATTAATGTTTCAAAACTGTTCATGAACCCAAGTGCTCCAACAGTAAAGTTTTTACGCCTTAAAAATAAATCAAAAATGAATTTCAGAAAAAGAGCCTGCTCAAAGTTTCTAAGGAGCAGGCTCTTAGAGCCTTTTTTTATGCATGGAGCCGGCTCCATGGATCCTTGGAGCCGGCTCTATGGTTGGTGGGACACGTCTCTCTCCTCCGTGAAGCCGTCTCTTTCCCCCTCTGCAAGCTTCAATCCGTTCCTGCTCTGTTTCACCTCTGGTCTATTCCTAACACTCAATTGGTATTTAAATCTGATCTTGGGAGTTTAATTAACATCCAGTAGCATCCCATTAGTTTGTTACAATATTTGAAATCAATTGCAGAGATTTAAACAAAGCCATTAAACTAAGATGATTAAATTACAATACTGAAACTAATTGGTAGGATCAGTTCTAATCCATCCCCTCTGTCCTTCATTACCCTGAACTTAGGAGTCCTATAACATCCCATTAACATCCCCATAGTTTGTTTACAGTAAACAAAAACAAGTACAGTACTCCAAATACAATAGAACTATCATGCTTTAAAGAACGGAACTGGAAACAGTCATGCAAAAATTATATCAGTTTTAATTTCCACACAAACATACCATTAATATAGCATACAATAATATGAAGTTCCAATTAATGATTTGTTAAATCCTAGAGGCTACCTAGGTGCACAGAACACAAGCCAGAGGGAAGGAGGAAGATCAGAACTTACCTCTGTAATTGTTGGTCTGCTTTCCTCTGTTCTGGCCATACTGAAATACTGCTTAGCCTCCTATTACTTCTGTTCTTCCCTTCTCCTAAGTCTGACCTTGAAGCTTCAGTCGAAAAGCTCATAAACTTGCTCTGTTCTCTCAAAACCTCACTCTGTATCTCTCTGTGTTTTGATACGTGAATAGGGTTCTCCAACCCTTCCTTCGGATTATAACCATATATATATAGGCATAGATAAAACCTAATTCTAATGACAATCTAATACAAAAAACCTAGATTAAACCCTAATCGGCCATAGGATAAAACCCACGTTATAACCCTTGTCTGCTTCCAA